GAGAATGGGGGTTCGGAACTGGGGTGCGCAGAAGGGATTGCAAGAAGAACTGGTGGAAAATCAGGAGGTTCACAGGGGGCCGCATGAGGAAGACTTAGGAGGGAGCGGGCACCTGCCTGGGTCCTTTGGTGAAGTTTGGGGACCTTGGAGGAGGTTTGGGGTTAGACCCCAAGCATCCTTGGAGGACTGGGACCCAGCATGTGCACAGGGCAAGCACCAGGTTCCTCTCCCAGCCCCACTCCCCGGTCCAGACTGCAATCTCCCTGCCCTGGCAGGGTGGTCTGCCCTCTCTGGAAAGGGGCAGCTTCTGCCACGCCCAAGGCTGGCTGTAGGAGGGCTCACGAGGGGAAAGAGGCTGGAGCCCCCTTCTTGGCTTGTCTTTGGGAAGCACAGGCTGGGTGGGTGGGTGACCCTCATTGACGCTGGCTGCCTTGGGGTTGGGAATGTCATTTCGCCACCACTCCTGCTCAGGGCAGGGGAGTAGAGCTGGGACACAGGGACCGCTGGGTGGATGGAGACGCGCCTGCCCCAGGACTGTGTTCCCAGGGCTTGGTGTTGCTGGGCTGTCTGAACGATCAGCCAGGATGGATGGTAAATGACGTCTCCCCGGGAGCTGGATTTCGCCTGTATCTGGGAGCCCTGTCCAGACAAAGCTGGGCCAGCAGTCTGCGTTTGCCCCAGGAGCTAGCAGGAACAGGGTCCTGTCCCATCTGCCTGCCCCTGGACCAGGACCAAGCTCTGTGCTGACAGCCTGTGGTTCCCAGTGGAATCTGCCCGGCTGGTCCTAGGCTGGCGGCGCCTTTTATTGTTGGGAGTGAGCGTTGAGGCAGGCATGTCCCGCATTTTGCTATCCGTTTTTCAAGACAGCACACACCTTGGTTTGCCTAGCGCAAGCAGCCCTTCCCGGGCGGCGTGTGTGCTGCACACCTGGAGGCAGCGGCTGCCAAGGCTCTGGACACCTCCAGGAACCGAAGCCTGGCGTGTTTCACCTGTGCTTCCCTGGGCTTTATGCACAGCTTCCTCCTGTGACCAGTCTCAGGCGTCCTGTCCTGTTACTGTTTCGAGCCAAAGCTCTGGGCGCGTGTCCCTGAGTTGGGGGGTGGGGGGGTCATGGGGACTGTTGCCCTGTGCTCTCCTGGCAGTCGGGTTTGTGCTCCTTGCTTCTCTGTGTTGCATGTGTCTTTTGTTGCCTCCCGGCTGCTGCCATCTCTGGGGGACTCTCCTCCGCACACTGGGCGTGACCCCTGGCTTTGGGATGTGTGTGGACCCCAGACCACTTTTCTTTAAGCAGCCGGGGGGAAGTTGTGTGGGACTCCATTGAGAACATAGTTTATAATGAGAGTGTTGCCACTTCTCTTATGTCTGAAGTTGGGTCTTTCCACACACCCCCCCTTTTCTTTTCTGTGCCAGGTTGCTATAGTATTGTGTTGCTAGGACATTCAGGAGTCTTTTGGGCTCTCAATTGATGCTGGTGCTCATAGCGTTGAGGTATTTGAAATGGATCGTGGAGAAATGTTGCCACTCAGTTCTGTGTGTGTGTGTGTGTGTGTGTGTGTGTTGTGTTATGTTCATGATCAACCTGATGACCTTGCTTATCCGTCAGAAATGTGAGTCTAGTCAAAATGACGGTTTCTCAATTCGAGCAGGTTTGTGAAGGGCGAAAGAGGGCTACTGAGCTCCCTTTCGGATCCCGCTCCTTCACTGTACTTCAGATGGAACCCCCTGCCCCCAGTAGCTCACAGGCAGATAGGCAGATAGATAGGTAGATAGATCTCTAGAAGGCACGCACAGTCCATCACTTGAAATATTAATGTGCTCTATTAGGCAACTCCGACACAGGGTCTGAGTTAGAGCAACTAGGAAGACGCGGAGGGTTGTGTCTGCTTCTCCTGGTTGTGGACTCCACGGAAACATTGCTGTTCTTAGCACCGTTTTCTGCTGCTAAGGGTAGCTACTTCCCCCACCCCCTCCATTTTGTCCCCCTTCCACATTGGAGCCTGCACCAGCCACAGCATTTTCCAGCCCGGATGGGTGAGCCTGGCCCCCTGGGCTGGAGTGCTGAGTGACAGGTGACAGAGCCACTTTGTCATTGGCGTCCTGAGACCAAGGATGCCTTCCTTCCGTTGACACAGCGTTTTCAAGTTTACAGGGCACGTTCCGCCCGGGCGGTCTCCTTCCTCCTCACACTCCTTCCTTGCAAGGAGGAGGCAGGGTCCGTGTCTCGGGTGGCGCAGGGCTCTAGGGGAGGGGACAGAAGGCCTTAGCGTTACTAGCTTGTGGGAGACGGACACATCACAGTCTCTCGGGCTGTTCTCTCTATGTATGTGCGCCTTTGGGAAGAGAAGTGGGGCTAGCGGAAAGCCCTGCAGAAATGAAGGCAACTGCTAGGGTTATTTGGGGTTGACGTAGCTGTTGGGGG